ATAGAACCTGACAAATCTTGGCACAGTTACTAAGTTTTTTTGTCTCCAAACAGTTAAAAAAAGGAAAACATGAACTCTTTTTTCTTTTTACCAAAACAAAGGTCCTACTAAAATTTGAACTCAGATCACTGGATTCAGAGTCCAGAGTGCTAACCTTTAAGGTACGTTCACATCGAACGCGGTTCGCGCGGAAAAAAAGCGCTACTCGCTAGTGAATGCACGCGTGTTTACTTTCCGTTTGATCGCCCGATCCGCGCGGCAGAGCCGCTGAATGCACGCATGACATTTTCAGGTGTTGACTGGAATGCGCGGATCTGTGGGAGGAGCTACAGAGGCGCAGCATTAGTTTGGAAAATGGCGGACGGGATTGTAAAGTTAATATCTGCATCACTAAGCTTTGAAATGCTCCAAAACATCAAAAACGTGTTCGGAGCTGTAGCTAGGAGCTAAGAATCCTACAAAGAGGCACCCTGCTCGGTGTGGTTCACAAACATTTCCACAGGAGCTTCAGTTTGGACCGCAGTCGCGTTCAGCGGGAGCTTCGACTGATCCAACCCCAGCTCCCTGACCTGTTGCACGGGCAGCTCCAGCAGGAAACCCGCGCGTCTGTCTCTGGTCAGTATTCATGATAAATTCTGTGTAAAAAAAATGACCAAGAACCTCCTAACCTAACGAACTGACGGGACTTTAATAAAAAGATAAATAACTTTCGTTTTTAACAATTAAAACAACATGTTAAAAATGCTGTAATCATATAATGTAAATACTGTATTTGTTTAATATTAAAAATTTAGATTTATACAGTACAATATTGTATTTCTAAGTAATCTCAAATGAACTATAGATTAACTTGGTTCTTGTGAAGCGATAAACTGTATTTAGCAGTGGTTTTCTTTAGTTTTTATTACACTATACTCATTTATTAAAGTAAAACATAACTTATAGTTGTACTTGTGGTGAATATATATTCCACAGCAACATCAGAATTACCAAAAAATGTTAACCTTAAAATACTTCAATGTAGTACAGTTAAAACACTGCTGTTATGTGTAAATGTCAGGGTTTTTTAATTGCTAGAGTTTGAATAATAAAACTTGTTAAACAGTGGATTGAATGTCATACTGATGGTGAAACAAATAAATCAGAGCAAATGCTAAATACAGGTAAAGTTAGAAAGTTTAAACAGTAATGATGATGTTGAAGACACCAGTGTAGTACAAACACATTTGCTGTCGAGGATCTGCAATCAGTTCTGCAACTAAAGTTCTGTTCTGTCTTCTCTCCTTCTTTCAGATTGACGGTGGAGACTCCAACCTGGTCATCAGCAGCATCTTCATTGCTGGTATTTCCTGAGATTCCAAGATCGTCTCGGATGCTGGGACTGCAGTCTGGAACTGTTTGGTAGAGCAGTTTATGGCTGGACTCTTCACTGATGAATGGAGGTCCATCACTGAAGGTTGTTTGGTGGAGGAGTTAATGGCAGTGCTCCTCACTGATGAATGGAGGTCCATCACTGAAGGTTGTTTGGTGGAGGAGTTAATGGCTGTGCTCCTCACTGATGAATGGAGGTCCATTGCTGAAGGTTGTGAGGAGAAGAGGAGTCTTTTTGGAGGTCCTGCTCTGCCTGGAAGCACTGGACGAATATATTAAAGGGTTTCTCTAGAGCCCAGCTGATGGTTTCATTAAAGCCTTGTTACAAAACTCTTGTGATTTCCATGATTCATGAAATGTTCTTGTTTTCAAATAAAAAATGGAGTCAACCTCCAAATAAAACCCATGTCTCAAAGCTTCTTTCTCATTACACAACACCAGTCCGATCACACATAGAAACGCTTTATTGTAGGTGTATTTACAGTACAATATCATTAAAATAAATGTTCAAATATTTGGAATAAACATTCAGTTTGTAGCAATGAAATTACATTTTATTTACCTTAAATATATGAAAGCACTTTTTTTGATAGTACAGATAGTACTCCCAAAGTAAACATTTAATTACACTCATAAAAATTTTATTATCTATTTTATTACTTTTTAAAAGATCATATTTTATAAGATCCCAATATTTTCTGGCATAAATAATATCTTGCCTTAAAATGTTAAAATGGAGGGCTGAAATAAAATAATGAACATGATTAATTCTCTTTAGATTTAAACCTAGTTTTGATAATTATGAATATATATATATATATATATATATATATATATATATATATATATATATAATTTCTTCCAAGCAAAGTGCTTTTATATATTCTTTTATTATTAAATAAATTTATTAATAAATAAAATGTATTCTTTTAAATTATTATTTATAATAAACTATTATTTATAACTTTAATATCATGAAGATGATCAGAGAGCTCTGGCAGTTCACGTAAAGTTTTAATGACAGCCCATCACTGTTTTAATTCCAGACGGTCTCCGAGCTGCACACGTCACAGCTACAGCAAGCTCCTGATTGGTCAGCGCGGCGCGGAAAATCCGCCGAAGTTCAATTTTTTGAACTCGAGCGATACGCTCGCGGTTCACCCGTCTACTGCCGGTCCGCCTCCTGCGCGCGGCTCACAACACGCGTATCACCCATTCATGTGGCTCAATACGCGCCTATCGTGGCAACCGCGCCGCTCAATTCACGTTTACCGCGCCGCTGAGGCCTCAGACGCGCGCAAACGCGTCTTTGCATTGACTTAACATGGAAACCATCCGCGCTTACCGCGCGAACCGCGTTCGATGTGAACGTACCTTCACACTATATAACCAGTTAAATCTTGGCACAGTTACTAAGTTTTTTGTCTCTAAACAGTTAAAACAAGGAAAACATGAAATCTTTTTTATTTTCACCAAAACAAAGGTCCTAACGAGATTTGAACTTGGATCACTGGATTCAGAGTCCAGAGTGCTAACCATTACACCATACAACCAGACATCTCTTACTTAAGGTCAATAATTAGTTTGTGTATCTAAAATCAGTTTTAACCGGCAAAACAATAAACCTCTTTAATGGTTAGCAGAAAAAAAGGTCCTACCGAGATTTGAACTCGGATCGCTGGATTCAGAGTTCAGAGTGCTAACCATTACACCATAGAACCTGATAAATCTTAGCATAGTTACTAAGTTCTTTGTCTATCTACAAACAGTTAAAACAAGGAAAACATGAAATCTTTTTTATTTTTACCAAAAAAAAGGTCCTACCAAGATTTGAACTCAGACTGCTGGACTCAGAGTCCAGCATGCTAACCTTTACACCATAGAACCTGATAAATCTTCGCACAGTTACTAAGTTGTTTGTCTATCTCAAACCAGTGGAAAAGGGTAAAACATTAAATCTTTTTTTAGTTTTACTAAAACAAAGGACCTACCGAAATTGAACTCGTATCACTGGATTCAGAGTCCAGAGAGCTAACCCTTACACCATTGAACCTGCTAAATTTTAGCTTTGAGATTTGAACTCAGATTGCTGGATTCAGAGTCCAGCGGGCTAACCATTACACAATAGAACCTGATACATCTAAGCAAATCAGTTTTAACCTGCAAAACAATAAACCTCTTTAATGGTTAGCAGAAAAAAAGGTCCTACCGAGATTTGAACTCAGATCGCTGGATTCAAAGTCCAGAGTGCTAACCATTACACCATAGAAACACACACTTAATAGTCCAGATAATAATTGCTATTTCTATCTTTAACCAGTTTTCACCAGCAAAACACAATATTTTTTTTATTGTTAGCAGAAAAAAAGGTCCTGCTGAGATTTGAACTCGGATCACTTGATTCAGAGTCCAGAGTGCTAACCATAACACCAAAGAACCTGATAAATATAAGCAAAGTTACTAAGTTCTTTGTCTATCTAAAACCAGTTGAAAAGGGTAAAACATGAAATCTTTTTTATTTTTTACCAAAACAAAGGTCTAACCGAGATTTGAACTCGGATCACTGGATTCAGAGTACAGAGTGCTAACCATTACACCACACACCCAGACATTTCTTACTTTAGTTAATAAGTATTTTGTCTATCTAAAATCAGTTTTACCCGGCAAAAAAATAAACCTCTTTAATGGTTAGCAGAAAAAAAAGGTCCTACCGAGATTTGAACTCGGAACGCTGGACTCAAAGTGCAGAGTGCTAACCATTACACAATAGAACCACACTTTTCTTATCTGAGATACTAAGTTTTTTGTCTATCTCTAACCAGAAAGTCCATTCAAAGTCCAGAGTGCTAACCATTACACCATAGAACCACACACTTAATAGACGAGATAATAAGTCATATGTCTATCTTCAACCAGTTTTTACCAGGAAAACACAATATTTTTTTATTGTTAGCAGAAAAAAAGGTCCTACCGATAATTGAACTCGGATTGCAGGATTCAAAGTCCAGAGTGCTTACCATTACACCATAGAACCTAATATATCTTAGCACAGTTAATAAGTTCTTTGTCTATGTATAAACAGTTAAAACAAGGAAAACATGAAATCTTTTTTATTTTTACCAAAAAAAGGTCCATCTGATATTTGAACTCAGATCACTGGATTCATAGTCCAGAGTGCTAACCATTACACCATGCAACCAGACAACTCTTACTTTAGTTAATAAGTCTTTTGTCTATCTAAAATCAGTTTTAACCGGTAAACCAATAAACTTCTTTAATGGTTAGCAGAAAAAAAGGTCCTACTGAAATTTGAACTCGGATCGCTGGATTCAAAGTGCAGAGTGCTAACCATTACACAATAGAATCACATGTTTCTTATCTGAGATACTAAGTTTTTTGTCTATCTCTAACCAGTTGAAACAAGGAAAACATGAAATATTTGGGTTTTTTTTAACAAAAAAAACGGTCCTACCGAGATTTGAACTCAGATCGCTGGATTCAAAGTCCAGAGTGCTAACCATTACACCATAGAACCAGACATTTAATATTTGAGATAATACGTTCTTTGTCTATCTTCAACCAGTTTTAGCCAGCAAAACACTGAATTTTTTTTATTGTTAGCAGAAAAAAGGTCCTAACCGAGATTTGAGCTCAGTTCGCTGGATTCAGAACCCAGAGTGCTAACCATTACACCATAGAACCTGATAAATCTTAGCACAGTTACTAAGTTCTTTGTCTATCTACAAACAGTTAAAACAAGGAAAACATGAAATCTTTTTTATTTTTACCAAAATAAAAGTCCTACCGAGATTTGAACTCGGACCGCTGCATTCAAAGTCCAGAGTGCTAACCATTACACCATAGAACCACACACTTAATAGTTGAGATAATAAGTCCTATGTCTATCTTCAAACTGTTTTCACCAGCAAAACACAATATTTTTTGTATTGTTAGCCGAAAAAAAGGTCCTACCGAGATTTGAACTCGGATCGCTGGATTCAGAGTCCAGAGTGCTAACCATTACAACATAGAACCTGATAAATCTTAGCACAGTTTCTAAGTTCTTTGTCTATCTAAAACCAGTTGAAAAGGGTAAAACATGAAATCTTTTATATTTTTACCAAAATAAAGGTCCTACTGAGATTTTAACTCAGATCACTGGATTCAGAGTACAGAGTGCTAACCATTACACCACGCAACCAGACAACTCTTACTTTAGTTAATAAGTGTTTTGTCTATCTAAAATCAGTTTTAACCGGTAAACCAATAAACCTCTTTAATGGTTAGCAGAAAGAAAAGGTCCTACCAAGATTTGAACTCGGATCGCTGGATTCAAAGTGCAGAGTGCTAACCATTACACAATAGAACCACATGTTTCTTATCTGAGATACTAAGTTTTTTGTCTATCTCTAACCAGTTGAAACAAGGAAAACATGAAATATTTGTTTTTTTTTAACAAAAAAAATGGTCCTACCAAGATTTGAACTCAGATCGCTGGATTCAAAGTCCAGAGTGCTAACCATTACACCATAGAACCAGACATTTAATATTTGAGATAATACGTCCTATGTCTATCTTCAACCAGTTTTAGCCAGCAAAACACTGAAATTTTTTTATTGTTAGCAGAAAAAAGGTCCTACCGAGATATGAACTCAGTTCACTAGATTCAGAGTCTAGAGTGCTAACATTTACACCATAGAACCTGATAAATCTTAACACAGTTACTAAGATCTTTGTCTATCTAAAACCAGTTGAAACAAGGAAAACATGAAATATATATATATATATATATATACATATATATATATATATATATATATATACATATATATATATATACATATATATATATATATATATATATTTTTTTTTTTTTTTTAAATGGTCCTACCAAGATTTGAACTCGAATCCATGGTTTCAGAATCCAGAGAGCTAACGCTTACACCATAGTACCTGCTAAATTTTAGCTTTGAGATTTGAACTCTTTTTTATTTTTACTAAAACAAAGGTCTTACTGATATAACCAGTTTTAGCCAGCAAAATACTGAATTTTTTTTATTGTTAGCAGAAAAAAGGTCCTACCGAGATATGAACTCAGTTCGCTAGATTCAGAGTCCAGAGTGCTAACAATTACACCATAGAACCTGATAAATCTTAGCACAGTTACTAAGTTCTTTGTCTATCTACAAACAGTTAAAACAAGGAAAACATGAAATCTTTTTTATTTTTACCAAAAAAAAGTCCTACTGATATTTGAACTCGGATCACTGGATTGCGAGTCCAGAGTGCTAACCATTACACCATAGAACCTGATAAATCTTAGCACAGTTACTAAGTTCTTTGTCTATCTACAAACAGTTAAAACAAGGAAAACATGAAATCTTTTTTATTTTTACCAAAATAAATGTCCTACCGAGATTTGAACTCAGATTGCTGGATTCAGAGTACAGAGTGCTAACCATTACACCATAGAACCTGATTAATCTTCGCACAGTTACTAAGTTGTTTGTCTATCTCAAACCAGTGGAAAAGGGTAAAACATTAAATCTTTTTTAATTTTACCAAAACAAAGGTCCTACTAAAATTTGAACTCAGATCACTGGATTCAGAGTCCAGAGTGCTAACCTTTACACCATAAAACCAGATAAATCTTGGCACTGTTACTAAGTTTTTTGTCTCTAAACAGTTAAAACAAGGAAAACATGAAATCTTTTTTTTTTTTACCAAAACAAAGGTCCTTCCGAGATTTGAACTTGGATCACTGGATTCAGAGTCCAGAGTGCTAAACATTACACCATACAACCAGACATCTCTTTCTTAGGTCAATAATTATTTTGTGTATCTAAAATCAGTTTTAACCGGCAAAACAATAAACCTCTTTAATGGTTAGCAGAAAAAAAAGGTCCAACCCAGATTTGAATTCAGATTGCTGGATTCAGAGTCCAGCATGCTAACCTTTACACCATAGAACCTGACAAATCTTCACACAGTTACTAAGATCTTTGTCTATCTCAAACCAGTTGAAACAAGGAAAACATGAAATATATATATATATATATATATATATATATATAT